AGTGCAATTAGTTATCAACATTAACCCCGCCAATTTTAAACATGAAAAAGATTTCGAGGAAGAAATTCCTCAAAGCATAAAAGACTTAATTGAATGGGAAAAGGAGAGGCACGCTAAAGCTGTCATGGACGAAATAATCTCAATAAACCTAGGTGATGAGGAAAATCCTCGTATGGTCTAGATTGAATTCATGCTGTCCTCAAAGGAACGTGAGCGACTAGTGGCCTCTTAAAAGAATTTAAAGATGTTTTTGCATGGTCCTATGAAGACATGCTTAGAATCGATCTTGAGAATGTACAATAAAAATTTTTTAGACCTTGAGGCTAAACCCTTGAAACAGAAATTAAGAAGAATCCATCCAGATTGGGCACTTAAGATTAAAGAAGAAGTAACAAAACAAATCAATGTTGAATTTTTATTATTATTGGAATATCTAACATGGCCAGCCAACATAGTTCCGATCTCGAAGAAAGATGGAAGAATTAGAGTCTGTGTGGACTTTAGGGATTTGAATAAGGCCAGCCTAAAAGACTATTTTCCACTACCACACATTGATGAGTTAGTAGACCTCATGGAGAGGCATGCACTTCTGTTATTTATGGATGGTGTAAACACCCCATTTTGACAGTCCCTAAGGCTTGGGCACTCTTTTCTGAACACCAAATGATAAAATCAAGATGCGCTAATCAGGAAACCCGATAATTAAACTTTAAGTCTCAACCAAGAACCCGTGTTTGACCAAAATGCTTTTTTTGACCAAGTAAAAAAGCCTTTTCAAAGTGTGTTTGGTTGCATAATTCCAAACATTTCCATAAGGTCCAAAGGCTCATCTTTTCAAACTCAAAGTATTGTCTGCTTTTAAAATGGACCAAGCAAAGGATATAATGGAAATAAATGGAAGGGTTGAAATCCTCTAAAATACATGTTTCTTCTTTCATATCATGTTAACTTTACCTTATTTATCCAATGGTGTATATTTTAGTTGGCTGGAGAACAACTCGTGGTTGGATGCAAATATAGTCGGCCGAATACATAATGGTACAGTCAGTAGAATTGTCCAGGAACATAACATTTTCGGAAATTTTGGCCATTTTTGCGAGATTTTTTTAAATATCTTAGATATTTATACCCAAAATTTTATAAATAAAGGTCAAAAGTTTATTAGATAGGGTTAACAAATTTTGCCCAAGGCTTAAGAGGAGAGTTGAGAGCTTCCTTCCTTCACATCATCTTCAACCGTTACTTTATCAACTTCAGACTTTCAAAACTCCATTAAAGATAGACTATAAGCTTCTTGCTGAGAATCTTGAACATCCTAAGCTACGTCTAAAGGACCTTGAGGGTGATAAGTGCTATCATACTGTATGCTAATTGAAACATGCCCTAATCTAACCATCATAAGCGGGTAAATAAAAGGGAGAAAGACGTGGGGTTGGAAGACATACATCATACACACGCACACTTATTACAACATTGCCCTCGCGCAGAGGGTCCGAATAAATAATATACAGTCCCAAATGAATAATTACAGTCCAAATATGTCCAAAACCCTAATTAATTAGCAAATTAAATTAGGAAAGCAATAAATTGGCATGCAAGCCAGGGACTGCCTCAAATTTGCTCCAGATGATGAATGATGCATGCTCTAGTTACCTTTGTCAGAAAATCCCTTGTGATGCCCCGGTTTGCCTCTGTTTGCAATTGTTCTTGGAATGCGTGCCAAGCTCCGGAAGGCTGTCGATTTCTGATTTGCTGCAACAGAGAGTAACAAAGGAGTATGGTAAAGTATTTTCACATATGTATGCACGACTACTCTTCGGGGAGTGTAGTCCTCGATCCTCATGCCACTAATCACACATATCGATGCATAATGGCCGAGGAGTCGAATTGCACGACTCAATATGAAATGAATGCACATATAAACACGACAAGACCTAAACTCCATCATAGATAATCCGGAGTGTCTGTGACTGAGAATTGAGACACGTTCCGTCACTCGAAGTACGAAACGTCCCTCGTTTCCCATGCTCGGGCTAACTCCTATCCCAAACATAATGCAATCTGCATGACATGCATGAATGCAATCCTAACATGCAACCTAGCATACACAATGCTATGAAATGGCATACACGATGCACGAGGTAACAAGGCATACACAATGCTCTAACATACAACCTAGCATACGCAATGCTATGAAATGAAATGGCATACACAATGCACGATGGACTTACACCAACATGAGTGGACCTCAGCCACACTCACATCAGTAGCCATGAGATGAAAATGAGACACTCGAAATGCGTGCACACATGCACGCAAATCGAGGACCAAGCCTAAGGCACGAATGCCATTCTAACAAGGCATGGCAAGGTATGAAATATGGCATACAAACATGCAAGTTCCAGCACTGAAATGTGATGCAAAATGATCCCGAAACATGGAAGCATGGCACCCGATGCATGGAATGGTCCCGAAACTCAAAACTAGGCACATGGAATGACTTACAGCTATACAAAGCATGCATTATTTGATCATGAAGCATGAAGACAGATGTAATATAGTAATAAAACATGCATATTTCCAATTTATAACAAGCCTAAAAAATGAACCCAAATAGGGCTAATCTATCATGCAAAAATGGCCTTAAAGGAGAGATTAAACACAAAGGGGCAGCAGTTGGCCCCAAATGGAAAAGAGCCCTTCAACAAAGTTGAGAAGGGGCTCTAAAAAAGGCACTTTACAGTTTACATAAAGCCACGAAAATAATCACAAATAAGGCCAAACTATCATGCAAGAAAATGCCTAAAAGAGGGGTAAAGAGACAAGTGGTAGCTTCTGTTCTCAAACAGAGGAGAGCCATTCAACAAAGTTGAAGAGGGGCTCAAAAAAAGATATTTCACAATTTATGGCAAAGTCCAAAACAACTCACCAATAAGCCTAAAATACTATGCAAAAATAGGCCTGAAAAAGAGTTAAAGAGGCAAGTGATAGCTGCTGGCCTCAAATAGAGGAGAGCCCTTCAACAATGTTGAATAGGGGCTCAAAAAAAGATATTTCACAGTTTATGGAAAAGTCCAAAACAGCTCACAAATAAGCCTAAAATACTATGCAAAAATAGGCCTAAAAAAGAGTTAAAGAGGCAAGTGATAGCTGCTGGCCTCAAACAGAGGAGAGCCCTTCAACAATGTTGAATAGGGGCTCAAAATTGACTATTTACAGTTTGGGTCGGAGCCCAAAAAAGCTTGCAAGTATGGCTTAGATAGAAGCAAAACAAGGCAAGAAAGAGGGAAAATGAGACTCACCCTTGTAGACCAATGAACCAGCAGCTCTTGGACCAATTTTCTAAGCCTTTAACCTCTTCAAAACAATCCCAAAGTGCTGGAATGAGGGATGGAGGCCTTGTTCTATGAGGTGTAGGGTAAATGGTGTAGGACTTAAGGGGTTTGGTGCTTGGAGTAGAAGAGAAGAGAAGAGAGAGAGAGAGATTGAATGCAAGAGCTCAAAACCAATTTTTGTAACCCCCAAACAAGGAGCTGAGGGGTTGGTTTTATAGAGGAGAGGAGAGGAGAGGAGAAAATGGGGAAAAATGAAATTCAAATTTTCCCCCAAAAGACCCCCCCCGGATACAGGATCTGGGGGGAAACAGAGGGGGCAGCTGTAAGGAACCAGGTGAGAGGGTCATGGCCGGCCAGGTTCAGAAGGTTCAGGGGGCCGGCCGACCACCTTCCATGGCCGGCCGACCAAGGGTCAAAAGGGTCAATGACAATTGCTGGTCGGCCACCTGAAAAAGGTGGCCTCCCATGTGTGCACAACACAACTATGTACTCAAAACCCAGAAAAAGTGAACTAGGAGAGAGAAAAGACCATTTTTTAGAGGGGCTCAAAAGGGTCAGGCACAATTACTGGTCGGCCACCAAATATTGGTGGCCTCCCAGGTGTGTATAGCACAAATATGGGGTTTAGGATTCAAGAAAGTGGCCCCGGGGTGGTCAACATTGGCTTTTAAGTGAGGAAAACGGGCGTCGGAGAGCGATGAAGAAATAAAGCTAGCTTTTCAGAACAATTGCTGGCCTCTCACCCTCCTACAAGCTTCCTAACTATGAAAATAAGGTCTCCACCAAAAATGAACCAAAACGGATACAAAACGGAGTTTGTTACGTGGTCCCGAACCGAGGCACACGGTCGTCAGCTTCGAAAAACAGGAAACCGGGCTCCAAATGGAAAAAATGGCCTACGATCACGAAACGTAGCCTACGGCTACTGAGAGATGATCTACGAGACCTCTCCCTCCCTTCGGGAAGAGAAAACAGAGCCTGGTTCGCAAACCGAGGCAAGTCACGAAAGAGTCCGGAAGTCCAGAGGCAAGGTTTGCAGCCGGAACTCTAAAACTTCTGAACGAGCACAATATGCAATATCACCCAGCGCTCAACTGGTGACGTCTGAGTCTTAAGGTCGGTCAAAAATGGGGTGTCTACAGATCTCTATGAGACTGTATTTATTTTATGCTAATTTCAGTACTTTTGTTCTCATATGTAACTATTTTTCATTGGTTGCATTGAATTATATAACTTAGGTTTTGGGTGAGATCAATTCTTCATAATATATCCAAATCTACTTTTGTTGGTCTTTTTCTTACAAATAGGTTACTGATTCAACTATTAAAATTTGCTTAATTAATCTTAAGAAGGTCGCTTTATACATAATGGGCCTGTTTGATTGAGGGATTATAGCATAGGATTGAGATTATTAATCTATAGGATTCACATTCCAATGTTTGGTTATAATTTGGAATTACATATTTTTATATTTATTGTTGCAAAATAAACACACCCGAATAGCACTCACTCAGCAAATAGACCAAAACAGCACCCAGAATTGTTTCAATTCGAATTAGTTTCAGACCAGAACAGAGCTAGAACAGAGAAGATTAAACAGCAGTAGAGGTTGTTCTCTCAATCCCTAGACTGTTGTGATGATTAGAAGAAGTTGTTGCCTCATGATCACCACCACCACCACCACCACCACCATGGTGAACTTGCCCAACCATCACTTGTCGCCGCCGCTGATGGTCGCCTGTCAAATGCTCTCATGCATTTTGATTTTATGTACACTCTGCACAAACTGAACTCTTGTCTTAACTACAAACCATAAGATTGAATAAAGAAAAAATTAGCATTTCCACCCATTACAAAGCATCAAGAGCTTTCCTCTTTAATTCAACTCTTCCTGAGGAGAATTGAACCCATAACCTATCTATTGGGACTAAACCCTTAGGAAAGTTGTGGTGGCTAACTACGCTAAGCCTAATTGGTTAAAGGTGTTATTATGGTTAGATCACATAAAATACTTAAATTCTTGTGCTAATAATAGACAAAAAAGTAGTCTCAGTTCAGTCCCATTGGATTAGGGCTTGAGGAGGATGAATTGAATACAGACCAAATATATGGTATAATTTGCACAAAATGACTTTGCACTAGTTTGAATTCACAATTTCAAGATTAGTAGACTGAGTTTTAAAACTTCCCTTCTATGATTTTTTTTTTCTGTGTCCCTCCTGATATTACTTGGGTAGAATGAGAAAAACAGAAAGGAAAACCACCTATTCCCTTCTTTGAATTTAAAACTTCACCTATTTGGTCTTAGTTATGTAGTTTTCAAAGTTATCCATTTATAAGTGTATATGTATTCATTAATATCCTAAACCAAGAACATGCTCACAGACTAAATACCAGCATAGAAGAAAACACTACAATAAGCCCTAATTTACCAGAAATAATACTACATAGTAAAAATAAAAATAAAAGTTCACAAAAAAATTGTACAGAATGCTGTGTGACAGCACTGCATTCATCTAGGTAGAGCCTGAGCCCTATCTAGAATAAATACAGTCCAACAAACACAGCATTCTGCATAAAAAATTCCAGGTTTTTATCATTTTCCTTAGAAAAAAAGCTCTTATGGTATGCAACTATGCAAGTCACACGTACCAGTGGAATTGTAGTAATTGATGATGAAGGTTCTCCTTCAATGGCCCTATACTCATTCATCTTCCATTCAGTTTTTCTTCCGGAAGGAGCTCTTCCCTTGTAGAACACCATGGTTCTCTTCATACTAATGATTCGGTTCTGAGAAGAGAAGACGTAACTAGGAGAGCCAGTAGCTTTCCAATACCCTGAAGTTGTGAGCCGGTTTGGTCTTCCTTCGCGGGCTTCATTCTCTTGTCTAAGAATGAAGAAAAACCACTGTTCGGGGTCTTTGCGACATAGCTCTCCTGCAAATTCTGGTTTAAAAATGGTAACAATTTAGCCAAAAAATCATAAACTATTTAAGTTTCATAACTTTAGAAGCTAGCTCTTGTAAATTAACTTGACTGTGCTTGAATTTTGATTTAGATGTATAGAAATGGAAGAAAAGAAAATTAAAACTCATCAAGATCTTACAAGCCAATTGGATTAAATGACTGTTGTAGTTTCAAATTTTCATTTTCTTTATAATCTTCATATCTTTATGCAATTAACACAACATAAAATATAGAAATATAATTTCAAACTCAAAAAAAAAAAAAAGGAAAAAGAAAGAAGTTTTATGTCATGAGAATGGATAAAGAAGAAACAATCTAATATTATTTCTTAAAAGAAGACAACGAATCTAAGGGAAGGACAAGGACCCAAGTGAAAATGGTATAATTTGTTGAAATCGAAGAAGTGTGTTTGAAAATGATCTACGGAACTGCTTTGCTTATTTAGGGTTTTGAGTAAATAATCGAATTTTTTCTTTTCTGATTAATAGTAACATTTTTGCTAAAGATAGGGCAGTTTCAAAAGTTTCACACTGCAATAACTGAACATCCATGACACAAGAAAAGAAAAGAAAAGAAAAAAAAAAACCTTGTATATTATAAAATTGAACCATTTTTTGAAAACTCAATTCAAAAATTAAAAATTACAGGAAAAAAGAAAAAAGAAATGAATGAGATAGAAGAGAACAGACGAGGGAGATCCCATGGATTGAAATCGTAAATGTAGAGGTGGTTCCCCGGCGGCGATGTCCCTGGATTGAATCGCGTCGCGCATGGCTAGCCTCAGGTACTGGGGAATCGTAATCTTCTGCCTCAGTTCCTCCTTCAGAATCCGAGACCCGCCCATGGGGTCTTGCCCCAGAATCGTAATCTTCTGGCCAGCTCTGCTCTGCTATCATAACAGAGCATCCTCAAGTTAAGAAGCAAACCCTAGAGGCTGAATTTAGGGGAAGAGAGACTGAAAGATAGAGAGAGTGCAAAATAGAGATAGGACATACCTGGGGCAATGCTCCAATGGCGGATTGACGGTGGTGATCGTGTGCGATGGCGGTGATGCTCCCGTACCCGACGACAATGGAGACAAAGGCGAGAGAGAGAGCTGGAGGAGGGCAAAGGCGTGAGAGACTGAGAAAGAGAGAGAGAGAGAGAGAGAGAGAGAGAGTCACAGATCTGTATGAGAGTCTGAGCGTGTGGAAGTTTTTTTTTTAAACCTTTCTTTCCTGACCAATTTTTGTAGTCGTCAATGAAATTTCCCTCCGAAATCTGAAGCCCAATTTTCAAATTTTTTAATTATAATCGCCGACTAAAGTTTTTAGTAGCCAAATCTCTACCTACGGCGACTGAAATTGTTTTTCGTCACTGAAAATAAACTATTGGCGACTAATATTTTAGTCGCCAAAGGTAAAAAATAATTTTTTATTTTCCAATCGGCGACTAAATCTTTTAGTAGCCAAATCCCTACCTACGGCGACTGAAATTGTTTTTCGTCACTGAAAATAAACTATTGGCGACTAATATTTTAGTCGCCAAAGGTAAAAAATAATTTTTTATTTTCCAATCGGCGACTAAATCTTTTAGTAGCCAAATCCCTACCTACGGTGACTGAAATTGTTTTTCGTCGCTGAAAATAAACTATTGGCGACCAAAATTTTGGTCGCCAAAGATAAAAAGATAAATTTTTAAAATTCATTCGGCTACTAAACAATTTAGTAGCTAAAAGTAGCTCTATGGCTACTAAAATTTATTTTAGTCGCCAATTGTAATATTTTTAGCTACTAAATTTTTTTTTTTCGCCAATAATGAACATTTCCCTACTAAAAAAAATTAGTAGCTAAAAAGTTGACTTTTGCCGACTAATGTTATTTTTGGTAGCCAATTCCGTACTTTTTGGCGACTAAATTTTTTTTGGTAGCCAAAAAATGGTTGCCAAAAATGTATTTTATTGTAGTGATATGCTCTTGTAATTTTGTTAATCCAAAATTCATCTTGTAATTTGTGGGAGCCGAGTAATTGGATTTACTATTCAGCAAATATGGCATATCCAAGCCCATCTAAGATGGGCCAAACTAAGCAAGGTCCACTGGCCTCAAATGATTCATTGCCGGGTAAATCTAAATGGTATCCAAAGTGCAATCCGAATACAAGATACAATGTGTTGAAGCCGAATAAGTAAAGGACCTCGGCATAATGATTCACTTGAGTAGGCCCATGCTGTCCCTTTCTCGAAAAGGGATAAGGGGATAGGTTCTGATATGATAATGATCAAAAGTTACAAGAAGAGATATCTAGTAAAATGACTATAAAAGGAGGTGAATGGTGAAAGGAAAATGTATGTTCTAATAACTTGCACTTTAAGAAATATAGGGACTTTTTCCTCTCTTAAAAAAATAATAACTTGCTCGTCGGAATGCTAATTTCGGCATCTCAGACCGGAGTATTTTTCCAGTTTCAGGCAATAGAACAAGGATCTTTCAAAGGTTTGTTTGAAGTGAAGAAGTAATGCAAAACTACCCCTTACATAATCTATATTCCATGTAATTTATTTTCAAGTTTTGTATCTCTTTTAAGAATTAAAAACAAGATTGTTTTGTATTCTCTATTTTATTTTAACTTATTTATTTTTCAATTATTACGAAAAATTACTAGCAATTTTTCTGTGAATTTTTTAAGTACACAAAGAGAGTTGCACCTCATGTTTTGTGTAATTAATTTTGGTCACTTGAATTGAATTGTAATTCCCCCCAAAAAAAGAGATAAAAAGGTGGAGATAGAAAAAAAGAGAAAGAAAAAATGTAAATGGGAGAGGAAAAAAAAAACAAGACGGGCGGTGGTCCATGTGTTATTGCTCTATTAACATTGAGTAATGCTAGAGACCCCAAATATTCTACCAAAAGTTTTACCAAATGTCTCAAATGGGCGTGGGATTCACACAATGTGGGTCCCATGTGGATCCCACACCCATGTGAGACATTTAGTAAAACTTTTGGTAAAATTTTTAGGACCTCTAGCATTTTTGATTAACATTTTATTAGTTAATGGTTCGAGGAATGCATAATGATTTTCCCTTAATATGGGATTCCATTACCACGAGCTTTATCAATTGAAATGGGTAAATGTCTCACATGGGCGTGAGACTCACACAATGTGGGTCCCATGTGGGTCCCACACCCATGTGAGACATTTGGTAAAATTTTTGGTAAAATTTTTAGGACCTCTAACATTTTTGATTAACATTTTATTAGTTAATGGTTCGAGGAATGCATAATGATTTTCCCTTAATATGGGATTCCATTACCACGAGCTTTATCAATTGAAATGGGTAAGTGCACAGTGTGGTGGACCAAAGTATAATTAGTAATATTAGGGATTTTAAATATTTTATTAATATTTTTATTAAATATCTTATATGGGTATGGAGTTCAGATGAGATTCATATGGTGTGGATTCCATGTTCCTATAAGACATTTGGGTGGACCAAAATATAATGAGTAATATTAGGAATTTTAAATATTTTATTAATATTTTTATTAAATATCTTATATGGGTATGAAGTTCAGATGAGATTCATATGGTGTGAATTTCATGTTCCTATAAGACAGTTGGTAGAAATACTAATAAAATATTTTGAGTCCCAAATATTTTTCAAGTATAATTCACCCTATTGAGTCACAATGGTCAGCAGCAAAACCGTGTCAAGTAGAGTATCTTCAATGGTGTATTTAAAAAGTGATAAAAATGAAATTCATTTGTATGAGTTAGTGTTTATTAATTTAGAATGTAATAGCATAATGTAATAGTATATTCCACACTACAGGAATTATAGGTTTTGACGACGTTTATTTAACAGCGTTTTATGAAACGTCACATTTTATATTATTTAACGGCGTTTTTTAACCGTCGATTTTGTTTAATGTTAAAACGGCACCGTTTCACTATTTGAAGGCGTTATTTATCTAGAGAAATTTGCCAATAGTAGAGAAAATTATAGTGTGCCTCGTTCACTCATCAGGGATGCCTTAATCTTTTACTTCTCATCAGTCTATCGTTCGTTCTCTCTCTCTCTCTCTCTCTCTCTCTCTAAACAGATGCCCTAATCTAATCTCTCCCAGCAGAATGCCCTAATCTCTTCCAGCAGAAATCAATGGATCAATTTCGATTTTGATTTCGATTTCATCTGAATCCTTACGCCTTCTCTGATTTCGATTTCATCTGAATCTCTGATTTTGATTTCGATCGCGAAGCTCCACCGCTGCCACCATCTGCACGAACGAGGTAGGTGAGTTCTCTCTCTCTCTCTCTGGGTCAACCCTCTCTAAAAGCTTATCATTCACAGAGATTCAGATCGATCTCGGTGATTTCATCTCAGAGCGATTTCGATTTCGAAGCTCCAAAACACCATCTGCACCATCGTCTACTAAGGTGAGCTCCGTCGTCTCTCTGTCTCTCTCTGAAACTCTTCATTTCGAAGCCTATTTCAGTGCTGTAATGGAAACATATCTCTCAATTCATTATTATGATCTTCAATAAAGCCTTATAAAGACTTTGGATGTGGAAGAACTTGTATTGAAAATAGAAAACAGTGATTCAAAAACACTTGAATTAGTGATCTGTTGTGGATAATAATCAGATTAATACTTGGATACTAAGCTCCTTTTTTTTCACCACGAAACTCACATTGATAATTCGAACCGTTCAATGTATATGACTTGTCGAGTGCTTCATTCCCGCAAAAAATAAGATATTAATCACTAAGTTTTTGTTATATAATAAATAAATAATTATACTTTAACTATTGTCTTCTTGCTAGTTTTTACCTATGTTTATAAATTGTATTAAAAGATATTGGTAAAACATTTGAATATTTCTTTAGAAATAAAGCTATGAGAGCTACTGCAGCTATCTCGGAAAGGTGAAGAGTTAATGAAAAGCTTTGAAGCTTAAATTTCTTTATGCCTTTTTATTTATTTATTTATTTTTATGTAAGTATCAGTTTTTTGGAAAATGAGTGAGAGCACTAATTAGTGCTATCACTAATGATGTGGCAGTGAGCCCCACCAGGAATGATTTGATGTTTTGACCTTGGTGTTGTATTTTTTTTCTTTTTTTATTAAGTGTCATGTCATTAGTGGTC